AAGATGATGCTTGTAGGCCCTCTTTTATCTACAGATCAATGCTCTGAGATCAGAGAAACCTTTCTCCAAGTGGGAGATTCATCTCAAGTGTTGCAAATAATGGAAATTGAGCTAAGCCTCTTGTATGAGGTTCTTCACACCAAGTTGCCTGTGGTTGGTTGCATGATGGGATACATTTTCAGGTTCATTAATATGTGTTGCATCTTGGTAGCGTTGTTGTCTTTCTCGTTATTTAAGAAGTATTATCTACTGAAGCAGTTAGACATGTGGCTAACCTATGGTTTGCTAATCTGGGCCTTTGTGTTGGATATCATATCTATTGTATTACTCATCTCCTCCGACTGGATTTTGGCTGCTCACATCCAGAATACGAAGTCGAGATTCTTCAAGAAGCGCAGGTGGTCTAGAGCAGTTTCCCAGTTGAATTTTATTACTTATTAATTATGTTAATGATTATCCAAGTCTATTGAAAGAAGTTGCTGATTTTCTTCGCATAAGGGGTTTGTTGGAAGACATAAAAGGACTCCGATGTCTATCTTCCAAAGATTTCAAAGAAGACGACACAGAATGGCGCTTCATTTTTGAGGAAGTGAAAGAATTAAATGAGTTTTTGAATAGTAAAATGACAGCCCCGTCTCAGACTGTGCTAGACACTAAGCAAGTTTGGTTATACAGTCGTGAACGAGTTCTTCAAGGCTTTACCAATTCTAATGAGCTCATTAAGATTGTGGAGGAGTTAGATTACACGAAAAGTGTACTAACATGGCATATAGCCACTGAATAATGCTTTCAAGGAGTAGATCAAACGTCTACATCGGGGAATGGGAGTATAAGTCACAGAGAATTTTGCAAGCTGCTCTCACTAGTAATGCAGCCAGCTATTATGTCAGCTGTTTCTGTAAGTTGGAAAAAGGTGTTCGAAGAAACATTGGCAGAGACCGCGTTATATGTAAGAAGGAGTTCAATCTCAAACGATGAGGATGCTCGCAAAAAAATCCTTCAACTGATCCCAAATTTCAGAAATCCAGAAAGGGATATCAATAGATCGGTGTTATTTGCTGCATCTGAGCTTGCCAAACAACTGAAAAAGTCTAACAGTACTCCTTGGGAGCAAATGAGCAAAGTTTGGGTACATTTAATGTGTTTTGCTGCCATGAATTGCAGGCCACACGTCCATGCACAGCAACCTAGTAAGGGTGGTGAACTTCTCACATTCGTTTGGTTGCTCATGAGTCATTTGGGACTTGGGACTCACTTTTCAAGCCATTACTGATGCTACATAGTGAATTTGATGAGAACTGCTTTCAGGGCAGTTTTATCTTTCTTTGTATGGCTACTTGTTGCTGATGATGGACTTATGTAATCAGTGTATATTGTACCTAATGTTGAAATTCAACAAAATTTTAGTTGTTTTTGTTTCTACAAATGATGTCACATCTTGGCCCCATGAGTCTAGCTTCAAGATATTAATTTTCACTAGTAATTAAAATTTTTGTACTGGAACCATAACTTGTCCGTCCCTTGTCCAATTTATCTTTCATCTGATCCAGTAGCATTTGACGAAGTGTTTTTTAGTTTGCACCCAAAATAGAGGTTAAGGATATATTTATCTCGTATATTTTTTTATTAATTATTATAAAAAATATAAAAAGTGACTTTAATTTTATAAATTATCTAGTTAAAATTATGTATATATCATTAGTGTTAAAAATAAAATTAATTTTCATAATTTTTTATATAAATTAAAGAAACAAACAATTAATATATCTTTAACTTATGCCCTAAAGTCTCAATCTATATAAACCTTCGTTGAAAAATGGATATTGAACAAGAAATCAAAAGAAATGTGATGAGATGAAGAATCAAAAAAATATTGATATAGTTTGAGTAATATGAAACTCAGCACTGAAAATATTTTCTCATCCATCATATACACAAAATTACAATAAAAAGTAACGTTATATTCAAGTATAGTAAATGGAATTCTACTTAACTCTCCTCCAAATATAACATATTTTGACAAAATAATTTAACTAACACGATACTTCTAAATATTAAGGAAAAATTCCGTTATATCAAATAATATTTTAATTTTAAAATTGATTTAAAAATTAATAATCAATTAATTAAGAAATTATATTATTTAAATATAAATAAAATAAAATAATATAAATTATATAAATTATAATAATGTGACATTTAGCGATATCTTATAGAGTATCCCGTTGGAGAGATGCTTTAACTACACCAGTGGAACATCTAACCAACCGGTGTTTTCTTATAATAACAATTAAATAAGGGCTAATTAACCCAAATCAACTAGTTGAGTGGATTAGCCCGCAGAAAAGAAGTTAAGGGGCTGATTATCCATAATGTGATAAGTTGAGGGGCTGATTTAAAATTTCGGTCATTAAATAAAAGGAAATCCTCTGGCAAGCTATTCAGACACAGGCGAGCAAACATAAAAGGTTGACCATTTGTATGCATGAAATTAATTAAAGCGCCGCCTCTTGTCCTTCAGTTTGCACAAAGTCTGCTTTTCTGCTCATTTGTGTTATTTCACCCCTTTTATTTGTATGCATGAAATCAAATCCTTTTTCTTTCATCTTTCACTACTCCCAAATCCAGCTTTCTGTTTGACTAATTTGTCATTCCCTTCAGTCTTCCTTAAATTCATACTTCCACAATCTCTCAAA